CGAGCGCCGCCAGCGCCGCGGCCCCGCCGACGTCCTGCGGGACGCGCCGCGCGTGCGCGGCCGCGGCGGCGGCGGGGGCGCGCACTCCTGCGTGGTCTCGTACTCGTCGTCCTCCGGGATGCGGAAGGGGCTGGCGGGCAGGCTGCCCAGGCTGCCGCCCAGTGCGCAGGCGCTGCGCCGCGGCCCCGGCCCCGCCGCCGGGTAGTAGTAGCTGTCGTAGCTGCGCTGCATGTCCGCGGCGGACCCCGGCCCCGGGCCGGGCGGCGCCGGGTGCCGCAGGAGCGGCTGTTGCTCCGCCAGGCGGTAGCTGATGGGCGCGGCGGGAGGCAGCGACACGGCATGCGCAGAGTTGGGCGACGTGATCTCGAAAGTCGGCACCTGCGTGGCCAGCGAGTAGTGGAAGTCCACGGGCGAGAGGCGCGCGGGCGTGGTCAGGGCCGACACGTACCTGCGGGAGAGGCAGAGAGTCGTGGGTCGGGGAATTTGGGTGTAGTGTCAATTCACCAGAGATTCCAACAAAAGACCCTGATTATAAGAGTGAGGGCTGAGGCTCTGACCTCGTTCAGTTTACATGATCCACCCCCGGCCTGTTCTTAATCTGTTAAGCAGAGCCAGCTATAGTGTTTACACCAGTTGAAGCTGGAGAATTCCAGAAATGTACTCAGGAGAGTACCCGTAAGTGGTCATTTGCCGTAGGAATGCACACAGTCTCCGCAGCACGCTCAGCTTGGGGTGTTTATGTGTGGTCCCATCTGTTATGTAGGGCTTGTGGGTGAGGACCATACTCCACACAGGATAAAGAGACTCAGACATTTAAGTGCCAAGGACACAATGACCAAGACGTGCTCTGTTCCATTACTGTTTGAATCAACTAACTTCCTCCCTGTTTCACCAAGACACCACTAGGTGTCTCTCCTTGGAGACAGTGGTTCCCCAGGTCCTTTCCTGAAAGCCTGTTTTTTTTTTTTTTTTTGCTAATAACTCTTACTGTGAATCCTCGGTACCTGTTCCTGGGATTTGAATCTAGGTTAAGCAGAAACTAGTATGCTTAACTCCAGGAACCACTAGCCACCATTCAGAGACTCCCTGGATTCAAGCTCACTGCCCTTGCAGGGATGGTTTATCCCACAGCTTGGCTTGAGTGAGGGAAACGTGCCTTTCTGTATTAAAGCCAAAAGTGACACTGGGTAGGCGCCTCAAGACAGGGCTGACAGATACCAAGATAACAACTGTCTCTACTCCCCCTACTTGCTTGAAAAGTTGGCTTTGCTAATACATTCCCAGATGTCTCTTCTTGCTCGTCACAGGCCCCCTTGTGAGCCAATGGCTTCTACCATTGTCCACTCAGGACAGGGATCACTCACCTCCATGCCTTTCTCCTAGACTGCACGGCCAGGTACCTGGCTGCTCTCTGCAACTGGCTTAGAGTCCTTTTTACTTTCCTACTGAATCAGTTGACTTCCTCCTCTTCCCTTTTCCAGATGCATATCTAACTAGATCCCTTTCTTCTGAAGCACTCTCCAGCCTGGGTCTGATTTTCTCCGTTCATGCCACCACCTTGGGGGTCTGTCTTTCACTCTAGGAAGTTCCCAGGGTAAACAAAACAACCCCACCCCACACCCCTCGGGTGTCCAAACCCAACCCAAACCAAACCAACTAACAAACAAAACCTCAACTCTGCTAGGAAGGTCCCTCCGATTTATCCACCCAGGCTCCTCCCAAGCAAGGATAAGCCAAGGGCCCTTGGTCCATCTGTGTCCCCAGCCTGCCTGTTGAGCTTTACTGCACCCCACAGGCCCCCTCGTTTCTCCTAAGCACGCTCTTAAGTGTTTCTTTTAGAACAGCTCTCCTAGAAAGCTTTCCTTCCCCATCCCCCTGCCTATGGTCTTCCTGCCACCTAGTGCTAGGGTTATTGCTGAGGACAATAGAGGCAGGTATGACGGAGGCAGAACCCTGTATGTTATCTTGGGGCCTTTTTCAGCCCCGAGTGTGGTATTGTTTTCTCCTATCTTCACTGAAGGAACACAGTTTTAGAGGTTTGCCCAGGATCATGCAGATAGTGGAGATGTGCTTGGAGAGGAAGATCTGGGTGCTTCTTGAAGCCTGTAATTGGGCTGGGTTTCTCTGCCTTGGTGTAGTGTCTGTGCTCAGACTCTTAAAAACTGCCGAGGGCCTACTTGATCAGCCCAGGCTCGGCTGAGACAGAAAGAGGTAGAATTTGCTCCTTGCTATCCTAGAGACTCCCCTTCCTGTCGTGTGCATTCTCTTCTGCTTTCCTTTCACACACCCAGCTTGCTCAACAGCCGCTGCAAAGCTGGTCAGACTGGGCCTAGCTCTCAGGATTCCTGGTGTGGAGTCAGGAAAAAAGGGATTAAAAAAAATGTGTGTGTGTATGTGTTTGAACATGTGTGCCACAGCATGTGTATGGGGGTCAGAGGACAACTTCCAGGAGTTCCATATCTCCTTCTACCCTGTGGGCTCTAGGAATTAAACTTAGGTCACGAGGCTTGGAGGGCAAGCTCATTTGCCACTGAGCAATCTTGCCAGCTCCAGGGAAAAAGGGAGTTTTCCGATTCTTACTCTTATTAACTTATCAGCATCCCAGCAATGCCGTGGGCACTGGAACCTGGCTGCTGATGCTGACAGGACCTGAGGTCATTCTTGGCTCATGTCCCTGCCTCTCGGGTCAGTGCCCTTGAAAATGGCCTCTTTTCCTAGTCTAGGTCTAGTCTACTTGGTTCTGTTTCTGTTGATATGTGGGGGTCTTCAGGTGATACTGAGAAGAGGACAACCTTTGGTCCTGGGTGTGTGGAACATCCCTTCTTGTCCCTCATGCTCCAGTATGGCTGTTAATGTTCCCAAAAGAGAAAAACTGTGGTCACTCCAGCCAGGATATGTCGAGGCAGCTGCAGTTCTAATCTCAGGAGACCACGTTAACCTTTCTGGGACTTTGTCTGGGTTGGCAGTGCCAGCCTTCCGGTCGTCAGGGGTTAGAAACTGACCTCTCACTGTGTGGAGAGTCACGCAGGGAGTCTATGGAGTCATGGTAGGGTGGCATGGCAGCTCTGCGCCTCTCCTCCTGGCTGTAGGCTGCTGCCCTCCGTGCCCGTGCCTCCACACATGCTGGGCTGTTGCACTTGCTGGTGCCCACTGATGACAGCATGATGCCCGACTGGGAATCCGAGGTCAGGCTCTCTGAACGTTCCAGGCTCCACGTGTGGCTCTCATGTCTGGGAAAACCGGATAGGAGTGAGATGATGGGTTAGGAAGGGCAGGCTGTTGGAGTGCAGGTGTGTGGTCCCATGGCCGCCCTGCCCTTGGTGCCTCATCCCATCTGTGGCTCCCTTAGCTCACTGTCCTCTCTACTCTGATGTGCGGTGTCAGCGATGTTCAGCCCTGATGATGGGAGAAGGATGATGTTCAGCCCTGATGATGGGGAAGATCTGTGGTTGCTGAGCTGTCATGTGTAGATGCTCTTTCCTCCTGCCACCAAGGTCTCTTAGCTCCTCATGTTCTTTAGCCATTTCTCAGGATCCCAGCCTCACTGGCCAGTATGCAAAGGCTCTGACTATTGCATGGATATCTCCGTGGAAGGAGGGACCAGCCCTGCCATTTTTTTCTAGCTGTAGGAACTTGTGCTTGTGTGGACAGGTCGCTCCAGTCCCAAAGTCAGGTGTACTGTGATCAGTATGTAAACACGAGAAGATATCAACCAGCTGTTGACGACTGAATGACAAAATACAGGAATTAGTGGGGCTCTGTGGGCCCGGGTGCTGCTCACCTGTGGCTAGAGGTGGGCGTGGCTGTGGAGCAGTGGTGAGAAGGTGAACAGGAGCGGCTCCCAGAGAACGTGGTCTCAGTCTCCCTCCGGATCACGTGGTCTGTGGCTGGCACGTTTTTGGAGATGTACTAGGACAGACAGAAAGTTGGGAGGAGTTAGTGATAGAGACTAGATAGATTCCCCTTCCTGGTAGGGAGGGTAAGAGATATGCACTGAGCTAGGTTAAGGGGTCACCCACTGATCAAATGTGACTTGATGTTGGGACAGTGATAGACCAAGACAATCACCCCCCCCCAAATCTTCCTTATCGAAACGGGCAGAGTGATCTGATCCCCGGTGAGGCGGTGCCTGGCACACGGTGCCAGACCGGCATCCACCCTGGCCCATCCTTGCGGCCAGAGAAGATGGCTGTCCAGCAAGAGCTAAGCAGGGTCAGGTCTGGGAACACCACTCACATCTGCCATCTGGATCTCCTCAGGGTCCAGCCGAGGGTGGCTGGGCCCATTGGCCAGGTTTCGGTTCTGGTGGGCTGGGCACATGTTCTGCCGGAGATGGTGATGCATCTGTCTCCGCTGTTTTCTGCACAGGGGAAGGAGAGGTGAGCCTACCATGGCTCCCCTAAAGGGTGAAATTCCCTGGCTATCCTTCCAAGGAGGGCTGAGCAATGCCCGAATCCCATTGCTCTGTACTGTGTGACCTTGGGCAAGTTCTGGAGTTCATAAAGATGTTTCACTTCCTCCATCAGTAGTGGAGGACCCCTACCATCCCAGAGACCACTGACCATAAAAAGCCCATAAAGACTCATGCTGTGCTTGCCCTTCCCTCCCTCTTTCGTTTGGTGTTTATTGGGTTTTTACTGTGTTCCAGACACTGCTTGGACACATGAGGTAAATATAGTCCGTGCCTCAGGCAGCCTGGGGGCCAGTAGGGGAGGCATAGAGTAAATAAATACACAAGTAAGTGAACTAGACACTTTCAGTGAAGTTTTACAAAGAAAAGAAAACAGAATGCTGTGATTCAAGAGCCAGGCCCGTGGGACTCCTGTATATTGACACATAATAAATGCTCAGCAAATTATTTTATCTACAACCATAATTATATCACTCCTATGGCTCAAATCCTGCCCTGGCCTTTAGTACCCCATTTTTCTTCCAAGGCTTGTCTCTTGCTGGCCTTCCTTCACCCAGCTTTCTGTGTCCTGGGACAGCTTGTTTCTGATCCTGTGCAGTGTTCTGCCCTGCACCCTGGCCTCTTCACCCACTCTCATCTTCTTTCATTAGGACCTAGCCTGAAGGCTGCTCCCTAGAGAAAGCTCCCTGCCCTCCAGCTGAGGATAGGTGCTTCAAAAATGTGTCTTGTGGCCAGATGTAGTAGAAGCAGGGAGAGCTATGTGGCTTCCAGGACAGTCAGGGCTGCCTCAAAACAAACCAAACAACAAAAGGCCCCAAACCATATATGTTCTGGGACTACTTGCTTGAGGTGCTGGTCATATGCCTAGTCACGGGCTGGTCATGGGCCTAGCCATGCACTGGTCATGGCTGGACATAGTGTCAGTACCACTGATGAAGGCTCGTTGCCTTCAGTAATGAGTAAATGTTTTAGTGGTCAGAAAAGGTGGCTTCTTGCCTCAGTTCATGGACTCAACTTTCTTGGGCCCACTCCCAACCCTCAACTAACTTCCCAGCCTTTCTGGTTCTGGTCCCATCCAAGATGAGGTCAGTAGGACCTTAGATCCCATCATGGTGGCTCTGCCTAGAGCCACTTTCCAGATCTAAACAAATGTAATACCACCCAACTTTACGGCCATTATTGGCTCCATACTATCTGAAGCTTGACATCAAGATTTATGGAGACATCTGAATCCCACATGTCTTTAGCGTCTGCTCAATCTTCCTGACCCTGGCTTTTTGCTCTTAGTGGTCTGGGCTGCCCTCTCTGGCCTGCCCTCTTCTACATAACCTTTCCAGCTTTCCCAGCTTCTACCTCAACATGCCCTGAACTAGTTCCATCTCTTCTCCTCTGTTCTCCTTTGCAGTACTTCCAGTGTGGGTGTGCCCTTGAGGTACCCATTTGTCCTGAGAACACAGCCTTCTCTGCACATCTTATTTCCTCCCAGAATGACCCAGGGCCTCCACCAGCACCCCACCCCATCTGCTCCGGGAGCCTGCAAAGGGCAGCTGGGAGTTCCAATGAGGCCACTGTAATATCCTTTGAGGTGCGCACTGGAGAAGATCCTCAGTTTTCTCAAGGTCTTAGAGGAGATGGCAGAGTTTCTTGGGTTTGAACCAAGACTTTCCCTGTGATGCTACACATGCAGAGGCCCCGAGACTGCTGGGGACAGGGAGCTGTAGGCGCTCACTCTGGGTTCAGTGGGTACATGGAGAAAGTATGTTCTCATGAAAACATCTTGCAGGCTATTCCCCTGGCCTGGCCTGTTCTTGCCTTGAGCATGTGACACTCACTTGGTCTTGCAGTAGGCGACCACACAGACGATGCCCACGACCAGCAGAGCCACACAGATGCCAGTAATCGTCAGGACTCTCTTCTGGTACAGCTCCTCAGCCTCTGCAGGGGCAGAGCAAGGACACAGCCCATGGAGATGCTTGTATGGAACCTCCCTGTTCCCAGACTGCAGGCTCCCTCAGCATAGGCTATGTACCCCCTTCCGTACCTTCCCTTTGCCTGCTCTCAGACTACCTTTGCCTCCCCTCAGATTCCCGCTACACCTGGTCACCACCTCCCCGAAACCCATCACTGCCCAATGCACATGAACGGAAAATGCAGGGGATGGGAGGGGATGGAGTAGGGGTGAAGTTCCAAGGCCACAGTAGAGGGGAGACAACACTGTGACCAGCGCCGCTGCCCTGCTCCATGATGGCCCAGCAAAGAGTTGATCTTCATGGCAATGAACAGAGACCCAGGTCCAAGGCCTTTTTAAGGCACCCCAGCTTCCCTAAGAAGAGCTGGTGGCAGGATATCAGAGCCAGATTTAGTAGTGATGCTAGGCCAGGAGCAGGGACACAGCAGATTGGGTGTAGAGGGTGTGTGGGAAGAAAGGCCTTTCTCCATTCCCACAGCCTGGTCAGGGTAGTGCCTTGGCTCACTGCCCCTTGTCTGCTAGTGAAAAGCCTACCAGTGGCAGCATAGCCCTGCCTGGCATTTACGATGTCCTTGTGCACAAGGAACAGCCCCACCTTTACTAACAAGCTGGGTAAGGCTGGGCCCAACTGTCCTGCCTACCCTCTGTGCCTGGTGTGGCCATATCTGTCCCTCTAAAACAGAAGCCAGGAGGAAGACAAGGAAAAGCTGACAGCACTGACCACAGCCAAGGCCGTATCTCAGAGAGCCCACCCCACCCACACCTGCTGGCTGGCACTGCCACCTTTCCCTGATCCCAGCTCAGCGATAAGTAGAGGCAGGCCCTCCACGATTGACAGAGCTCTGAGAAATGTCCCCGATCCCTCAGATTTAGGCTACCTCCTGCGTACACCAGCAAACCCATAGCTACAAACCCTCTGGATGCTCACATACCCAAAGCTATGGCTTCCGGAGTCAGAGACATGCCTTTCACACAGACACGCATGCACATGGACCTGTGCACACAGCTGACCTCATGCCTCAGGAATGGGTGTACATGCATGTCCAAGCATACTGAGTTACATTCAGTCACAGTCTTAACCACTCTCTGTTCTGTTGGGCCTTCCCCCATTCATCTACCAGTTCTCCTCAGTAAGTGTCTCCATCACTTCTTGGAGACAATTCTGATCACGGTTACAAAAGGCTTCCACATTACGAAGTCCTGTGGCACGTGACCCCTCCCTTCCAGGCATGGTGTCCTAGAACTTTGGTGGTGGGCTGCTCCTCTGTGGATTGACCTTTCTGCATGGCTGCTTCCTTTTCTTAATCTGGGCCAAACAAGCCCAGGCCTCCTTCTTTCCTCCACCCTTTCTTGATATCATCTAGACAGACTTTCAGTCCGACCTGTATGCGTTCTCCATTTCCATCTCCTGCCCTGATGCCTCCCTGCTCTCAGATCAATACCCATGAACCATGGCCAGCCAAACTACCCGCTAGCCCAACCACCCTGACACCTGCTTGTCCATATTGTTAGTGAAGCTTCTTCTCCTGCCACTCCCTGTCCTCCCACCTCCCAGGTCCATCCAGAGGTCATCTCAGCTCTGATTTCCAAGTGAGTCATGGATCTGACCACAGTGAGCATTTTCACTGCTGCCCTTTTAGTCCAGGAGGGGGCCCCCTCAACTAGAGATGGTCACCTCTGACAGGCCTTTCTGCTTCCACTTCTAACCTGACTCATCCCCACACTCCACAGACACTAGTAATAACCCAGCAGCTCCTTCTAATCTGCTGCTTAGAAACACACAACAGCTTCTCATTGCAAGTATAAAAATGAAGGGCTTCCTGTGTCTTTAAGGCTCCTGTTCACCCAGTTTCACGTTCCATTTGGATCTTATCTGTGGCCTGTTGTGCTTGAAGTCAGCTGCAGCATCTCTGTGCACCGAATAAGGCAAGCTTGTATGTGTTGTGTCCCCTGCCTTCAATATTCTTCCCCAGTTGTTTGGAGGACTGGCATTGTGTGGGACAAACCTTTTCTTGATCATCAGTCACAGCAGCTCTCCACTGCAGCCAAGCTAACCCCTGAGATCCTTCCTTCCTTCCTTCCTTCCTTCCTTCCTTCCTTCCTTCCTTCCTTCCTTCCTTCCTTCCTTCCTTCTTTTCCCCCCTGTATCACCCGTCAACAGTGCTTCCTGTTTGGTGCTGTCTCCTCTGTGAATGCAGTTCCAGAAGGGTAGGGATGCTATGTTTAGAAAGTTCTGGTGTTGCTCGGATGTTTATCGGGTAGGCAAGTGATTGTATCCCCACTCAGACACACACCTCCACTCACCTCCACACGCTGGCAGTTTCAGTCCCAAATGCTCTGGGATTAACACAAAGGCATTCCACAACCTTTCTGTATCCTTGTGTCCTGCCCTGAGACACGCGCCAGCTAGACATTCCCCCCCCCATCCACTCACACCTGCAGATTCATTCCTGTGCATCCACCAAAAACCCCAGCCTCCACCTCCACCCTCCTCTCCACTCAATGTAGCCTGAGACCCTGACAGACATTCACATACAGACTTTCGGGTTTTGCCTTCTACTGAGAGCAACTGACAGGGACTAGGTAGGCGGGGAGCTAGGACCTCCCTAGGGCTGCCATGAAAAAGCCTTTCCTTATTTGTAGTTTCTGAACCACGTCTGGTGTTCACCACCACCACCACAGCAGCCCCACCACCCCCGAGCCCTGCATGTCTGGCGCCAGGACACATCTGGATACTTGAGGTTAGGCTGGAGTCACCCCGCACCAAGCCAGAGAGCTTAGAATGCTAATCCTCAAAGTCTCTTGCAGACAGGTAGACAGGAACACCTCTTCTAGAGGCCAAAGGGCAGTGTTTGAGGCTTTGTGGGGGAAGTAGGGGGCCACATGTATGTCTCTGGGGGACAGGGGAAGGGTAGGTAGAGATTAGAGCCTTGGTGGTTTTGCCCACAGACACACACATACTACATGCCACCGTAGGGTCAGATCATGGAGAGAGTGAAAGACTCAAGCAGAGGGCAGACAGACACAATGCAGGGGCAGAAGCAAGTGGGAGTTGTCAACTTCCAGTCTACCGCAGAATGTGAAGCAATGGACTCGGGAGGAAAGAGGATCAAAGCGAGGATGGAAAAAGTTGCCTCTCTGCATAGCTCCCCAAACCAGGCTTCTGCGATCTGCAGACACCAGCCCTTCGAGCGGCCATGTCTGGTTGGGTTACTGACTGGCTGTACAGCTTAGGAGGGCTGGTCCCTGCAGGTTCCACCCCTGCAGGGGCAGGGGTGGGGCTAATGGGCACCAGGGCACAGTCTGAACTGTAGGGCACCCTGCTCTTCACGAGATATTCTTGATTCTCTCTAAGTCAACATCGCCGATGCTAGAGCATCTTGATGGGGCCAGGGGACTTTTCAGAACCATCCCTTTTCGTTTTTGGGGGTGGGAGGGAAACCTAACGTTCTGCAGTCCTGGTGTCAGAGGCTGTGGAGAGGGGCTGTGAAGAAGATTCAGAGGGATAATTAGGTTCCGTACCCTTTAATTCAAATCCAAGGTGCTCTGGCAGCGCGAAGGAAGGAGAATGAGAAGGGCATGGGGAGAGAGAATGAGAGAGAGAGAAGGGGAGGGCAGGAGAGAGAAAGAGAAAAAAAAAAAAAAAACGTTGGTGAGAACTCCTCGGACACTGGGCGGCCAGCCTGTGAGGTGAAAGCATGTTAGCAGCGTCCCTCACCCAGCCTCCTGAGCTCCCTGTCCCCAGTCCCCGAGAGCCCCCAAAAGGCAAGAGAAAGGCCATGTTAGAACTGGCAGGCAGGGAAGGGTTTTTAGAGGTGAGCAGTGGAGTTAGTACCTGGTGAGAAGGCACAGGTGCAAGAGTCAGTTGGCAATGTCCCCCAGGAGCAGAGGGCAAGTGGGGTAGGGTCCAAGGAGAGGTGCTTAATCGCCTCCTGGCTCTGGTTCTAACCCTTCAGTACCCCCAGGCCCTCCTGAAGTCAGTCTGCCCCACTCCAAGCTCATTCATGAGGGTCCTTTTCAGTTGTTCAAATGAATTTGCCATGTCTCCACACTGGCCCCGTGTCCCTGCCGCCTTATGCCACAGGCCTAGCTGGCCTGGCACGTCTCCTGGCAGTCTGACTGCAGAGCTTTGGCATCTTGGGAGGGGGAGGGAGAACAGGGAGACTTCAAGTGGCAAGTCATTGCTCCACTTGACATCCCATGTACCCTGGGCTCCTAGGGCTGGGCAGTGGTACCCAAACCTATCTCATTACTTAGGAGAGCACCTACAACTCAGAGCACAGGAAGAGTGGGTTCATCCTCAGAACCTGCACACTCCTTACACTGTGGACAAATTACAGCATTGGGAGTGAGATCGTTGCCTGAATGTGTGCATTCAGGCCTTTGAAAGGTGGATGCTCACAATGTTGAGAGGTTAAGTTAAAGGGTCTTGGTCTAAGGGTCAGTTCTGCCATTGTCTATGACTCTAAGAGATGCCCAACCCATGTAGCTCTCTGTCCCTCAGCTACGATGGGGGGATCAGGCCTTGCCATGGGGTCCTGGGAGGTCTGAAAACCTGGCTGTGCTTTAGAACCATCCAGGCCAAGGGGAGAAGATCTGGGTGGGAGCCCAGAAATCCCAGTGGAGTTTTAAAGAGCTTGCCTTTCCTTTTAAGGCACAGCCTGTTCTGTCCTACAGACCCTGGGCTCTGGTTCATCCTTAAATTGCTGCGTGGATGTGGGTGATCCATGGCATCTGTTCTCTCTAAAGCACCTGTGTACAGAGGCAGATGTGAGCAGAGCTGGTCCACAGGAGGTTCAGCACACGTGTGTGCCAGGGCTCCTGTTCACACCTGCCTGGGCACACTCCCTCATTGACTTTCACATCAGCCAGGTCAGCTCCCTAGACGGGGTGACGGTGTGACCCCAGGCCCGACTTCTCATCTGCTGTAGAGGGAGGGCATGCCAAGCATTTTCTGGCCCATCTCCTCACGCTTTCTGAAAAGGATTTCGGAGGGATCTGTATTTGGAAAGAGCAGGAGAGTGGGTGGCTCTAAGCCAGAGACCAAGAAGGTCCCGACCCCAAGCTTCTTGAGAAAGATCCTGGAGTTCTGACCCCACCAGTTCAGTGCAGAGGCCGAGTTACTTCAGACGCAGGCCCTCTGTATCACTGCCGCTCTGAAGAGGGGGTGATATTGAAGATTTGGCTTCTTTACAGCTTTGCTATGACCTCTCAAAGCCCTTACTAAGTGCAGCTCAGGGTCCTCTCTGATCAGTGTCTCAGTGAGGTTCCCAAATAGTGTATTCTGGAGCCTAGGACTTTGAAGCACTCAAGTGCATGGTTCTGATGTCCAGCTGCGCTCAGCTGAGAGACAGAAGACCAGCTTCACCAGGTTCTAAGTGCTAGCCCTCAGCTCACTTTCAGACAAAGTTGCTAAAGTCTATCCATGGTGCGAGGATGCTTGCTCAAGGCAACTTGGAGAATTGGGAGGCAGAGCAGAGACTGGCAGGAATGATGGGGTTAAGCTATGGTGTTCCTGCTCAGGCTTGCCTGGCTATTACTGAGGACAGCGGCCACCTGCAGAAGCAAGCAAGCCTCCTGAAGCCCTCTGACCTCTTCTAGGTCACTTCTCTGAGAGCCAAACCATGTCAACAGCAGCTCCCAGGGGTTGTGGTTAGGATGGGTCAGTGGTGGCTGGCATGATTGGTGAGGCAACTGAGAGTCTTGCCTGTCACTAGGTAGGTGACTTTCTTCCTGGGAAGCCTTGGGACAGATGCTGAGAGGTCTACAGCCATGTCTGTTTGTCATTAGGGGATCCATCTCCTACACATGTTTCTTGCATGGCAATTAGCCAGATGGGGTGGTCTTACTGAGTCTCCGGCCAGAAATGTTCATATTGACCAGTAAATTGGATACTGGCTTTCCATCAGGGCCAGGCTTCTTAGGAGATATGCAAATCTATTGTTTTGGATATAATCAATGACAGTCAGAAAGTGCCCGGATGAGGAGGTAATGATGTCTGTGCAGATGTGAGCACGTGCTTCGGTATGTGCTTGTGTGTGTGTGAATGCAAGCACACATTCTGTGTGTGTGTATGTGTGTGTAACCATAGACATGTGCGACACAGATGGGTTAGCCTTCCCTTTCAGGAGGGCAGGGCCTGTAGTGGAGGAGACTTCAAAGTGCTATTGGGGGTCAGAGGCTGCTTTTTTAGTCTCTGAAAAAGGCTGCCTGGTCTTGAGATGGACTGGGTAGGTGGCAGGATCAGACACATTGCTCAACAAGACTGGGAGGTATCCTCCAGGGACTAATTCTCTTCCTGCCCTCCTCCTTGCCATCAATAGCCCGCCATCAAACGGCGGGCTCTCAGGTGAGCCTCTCTCACACATCACTTCACTTCATCCTCACTGCTGCCTTCTAGGTATGGATGCCTCTATCTTCACTCTACAGATGAGAGAGCAAACCAGGAGCACTTCAATGGGGCCCACGACCAGGGATCTAGGCACCTGGCACTTCTAGGTGTTCAGCTGAGCACTTCAGAGGGCACACGGTGACTTGTTTTTACTCATTAAGTTCTAGGGTCCCGGGGAACATGCTTGAAGAGCAGGAATCCTCCACATAAAGGCATCTGCATGGTACGGAAGACATTGGCAGGAAGGCTGGGGGCTGCCTTTTTTGGTTTTCTTTTGGGCTCCTAGGGCCCTGAGAGCAGACATAGGCTGAGGGGCGCCTGGTCTAGCATGGCCGTAGCCCATGCTCTGGAGGCTCTTCTGCCCTCCGATCTAGGGCTGTCTAGGACTACCGGTCCAGAGCAGTTTCCTAAGCTGTGGATGCCCTTGACCAAGGGTGGAAAGGAACAGGACCCCCACTGCTGCTGTTACCTGTCACGCCCTTGCCTGTCTGCTCCATCCTCTCCACAGGCTCCCCTGCCCCATAGTTCTCCACATAGGCTGGATCTGATTTTGAAATTCTCCTAGAGCTTGAGTTGTAGAGAATTCTTCAGGGCTACATAGCTTGCTCACATATTCTGCCTTTTCAGCATCTCCTCCAGAGCCTGTGACTGTGACTGGAGGGGTATGAGAGAGTACTGCCTCTCACTGTGGACAGAGGTGACTCGCTGGGTTTACCAGTCCTCACCTGCTGGGGCCCAAATGTTCCTTCTAAGGGCAGTGGATATATTTCTGGACTTTGTCTGCTGGTCTGAGGACAGTTTTGGGGATTCATTTCTCCACCCTGAGACTTAAACTCTAAAACTGTTTTTCTGGATGGCTACCTGATGGCCCCTGGGTTTCATCTTTGGTATTTTTATGGAGTTTTCCTTCCCAACTTCCAAGTACCATCTGGGTTCTCTGGTTCATCACTGCTCACAGGACCCAGATGTCTTCCCTGAAAAACAAGCAGGAGGATAGTCTGCTATGCAGGACAGTGGCTGATGTGGTTCTGGTCTTGAAGGCCAACAGACCACTGGGCCTCAAACTTGAGTCTGTGACTATCCAGAGGCTTATTGCTCTGTTTCACCGCCACCTGGTGGAGCTTGACGGAACTGCTCCCAGGCAGTCCCTTCAATGACAAATATCCACTATTTAGCCAAATCTTTGGGCTGCAAAGGGCTCACTGCCTTGCCCAGTGTGGAGGAAAGAAAGGAGATGGGGTCCTAGATAGTGTTCAGACTAGAGAGGTCTTGGGAAGATTCACCAATTTCCCGTTGAGTCTCTTAGCATCTGCAGGAGCCCTCCGTCTACCCCATCCTGTAGCCATACAGATGTCTCTGGCATCCATAGAAACCATTGCCCTGGGGCCTGCTGCCTTTCAATCTCCCCTCTGCTTTGCTCCTAGAACCCCAACACAAACCATTCTGGCCAGACCAGAAGGCAGTCTTTTGACTTTTTCTATTCTCTCAAACATATCGGCAAAAACATGCGCGCACTCACTGCCTGGCTCATTATCAGCCTGATACCTTCAAACAGCCTTCAGAGGCAGGGGAGGGCCCTGAAAATGCCTCTTCCTACATTTGGCAGGCTGCCTGACCCCAGAAGAGGGGAGAGGCCTGGACATGGCCCTGCTGCTGCAGGGAATTCCGCATTGCTATTCTCAGGAGATACAAGGGGTGGGAGGGGAGACAGGGGTGTTACCGTCTCCTCTGCAGGGGCTATTCGTAGCACTGAGAACTGAGAGGAGTTCAGGACACCCCTGTTCCCTCCAAGACTTGGTAAGTAAGGCCCCATCCCTCCCACACGGGGAGACTGCCAGTCACCAGGGAAGAGAAGAAATAGAAGAAAGAAACATACTGGAGAAGTTGACCATTGCGAACTGCTGACACCTGTCCCCGGTGTATCCCACAGGACACCTACCAAAAGAAAGAAAACCAGAAAGAGAGAGCCAGGATAGCAAGACACAGGCATTGCAACACCCCGGCACAGGCTCCTGCCAGCGCCAGCTAGGTTCCTCGCCACCGTTACCATTTGTACTGGCCTTGCCACTCTGCCCCTTACCTGTGACCCTGAACTTTAAACCCAAGGATTAGGCCAAAAAATGAAAAACAAAGCAAAACAAAACAAAACAAAACAAAAAAAGAACAAAACAAAAAGAACTAACAAACCAAAGTACAAAAAAGAAAAGAGAAACAAAACATAACAGCCAAAGATCAAAACAACCAACACCCCTGGCCCTATGCCCTACATGGGGGTCTGCACCCAAAGCTTTCTAAGGAGCAGGGACTTGTGTTTGTATCTTCAAACATACTTTGCTTAGGATCTGGCATGTACAATCGCAAAGGCAGTTTCTCCAAACATCTCTGTCCGAAGAATCCGTTTGGACATCTGGAGAAGGAAAAGGGGAAAAATCACAGAACAAACTGGCATCATCCACGAGGCTAAAGGTTAGAAATCAAAGTGCGCAGTGATGAATGAGAAAACCGAGTCAGGCGCTTGGGGTCACACTGAAGGGGGCTGGAGCCAGGGGCTGGGTGGAGGGCTCTGTCATCTTACAGACGCTCTAATCCATGTGGCTCTCTGGGGGATGGGGCAGGCGGGGTTGGGTGGGGAGGAGGATGAGTTAGGGAAGTTGGGTGGGGGAAGGGGGTTATTGACTAACTGTCCTGCTGGTTGGGCAGCTTTTCCTTCGTACCTGCCTGGTGCCCCAGGAAACCAGAACTGTAACCTCTGGGTGCTAGGCAGGCAGACTTATGGGATACAAGCTCCTGGTGTCATTCCTCCAGGTTCTGTTGAAGGATTCTCTCCAGGACTCTGGGCAGGTGCCCTCCTCTATAAAACAGCTCCCAGAAAACTCACAGTAGAATTCTGCTAGGCTGTTCTCACACTGTGTCTCAGAACCAAAGGGACCTAGGAGTTATTTGATCTGTTCCCTCAAAGAGGGATCTGCGGCCCAGTATGTTTGGGAAATCCATCCCCCAGGGCTCCTGTAGAGTGTCAGTCTCCATTAGCGTAGGAAGGGTTATGAAAAGCTTTGTAGGAGATAATAACTGAACTATACAAACTTGTCTGACCAAAGAAATTTGGTTTGTGTATTCTGAGACAGGGTCTCGCACTACAGCTTGGGCTGGTCTGGAACAGAAGGCGCTTGCTTGTTAGAGGGCATAGTTTGGAGAAGGTTGCCCTAAAGATGTGGGGAAAAGCTAAGTGGGAAAAAGGAGAACTGAAAGAGAGGCAGAACTGCCAGTGCCTCAAAACTGCCTTCCTGACATCTGGCTCAGGGGGAGGTTGGAGCAGACTAACCAGGGGCCCTGCTCTATACAGGCTAGAAGCCAGCCTTGGCCTGCCTGCCTTTTCCCTGGGACCTGTTCTTCCACTGTGGCCTGGATCTCCTTGAATCTTGCCTTCCTTGCTGCTCCAAGGCACCACCCACCCACCCCCTTTTCCCTGACCTTGTCGTACCCTCAAGGTACACTTCCTTCTGTTCTCTGGCTGCCACCTCTCCCCTTAAGCAAGTCCCGGTTTTGTAGGAGACATGCCCGGTCCTGCACTCTCTTCTGAACCCCAGGAAGGCAGGCTAGCTAGGGAGAAGCTCACAGGCAGGGCTGTACGGACCCCTTTGCACATCTCTCTTTAGGAACAGGTCTCTGTTGCCCCGGCCTGCAGAAGCCCCTCAGTACCAGGTTACCCTGTACCATTAGTCAACCTGGATTTCCAGAAGAGGGGAGAACTCTCTGCCTTAGAACTGTACATAACAGGAGAGCCCTTGGCCTTATAGTTATGCTCTAGCCATTGGCTGTGATAGGTAATTGTGTAAACCCAGTGGCCTCTGATCTAGAGGAACAGGGAATGGCAGTGGCTTGTGGGCAGAAAGCTGGAGTTTCTTCGGGCCTGTGTTACCTCTCTGGGTTGGGGACACTGTAGTGGTGTACATATGCCTGGCCAGCTGGAGGCCTGGCTGGGAGGTCCAACTGTTGAGGGTGGGAAATAGCAATGCATGCTTACTCTGTTGGATAGGGTGGCTGAGGGGAGGAGCCCCTCTTCAGTACCCCTGATCCCTGATCCTTGTCCCTAAATCACTTTAGCCCAGGAAGATGCAGGAAGTCGCAGAGGCTTCCAAACTGACTCTAGTCAGGCTCAGCTCTTCTTCCTTTGCTCTTGGGGCCTGAAGTGTGCATTGGGAGGGGGATTAGAAGTAGGTGAAGTGATTCTTTTTCAAACAGAAGTATCTTTGGGAGTAGAGAATAAAGATCCAGAAGTTGTCAAAATGACTCTTGGATTCTACAAAGTAACAGGCTTGGCTGTGTCCATTGTCTGCCACTAGCTGGGCTCTTGGAAACAGGGAAATCACTGTATGTGAGTATGTGTATGTGTCTAAGAGAAAACAGTTGAGTGCAGGGGCAGGAAGGGACAAAGAAACTTACTTGACATCAGGGCTGCTGTCCCATGAGTCTTGGAGACCAGTGAGAACTATTAATACATCTCTGTGTCCCTGTCCCATACTCAGCCTGAACTAGTCTAACTGTCTGCCCAGGGCTACTGAGTTGCACAGTTCCAGGTGGCGACATTGCCTGGCCTACAATACAAATGCACTGTGGTATTTGTGCAGTGTTCTGGTGCTGGCTGTGCACCTGTCCGAGAAAGGAGAGCACCTCCTCACTGGGTAAAGAACAGGCCTTGGGGGATAGGGTGGTCAGGGTGGGGAAGGACTGATAATGGGCCCCTTTAGGGACTCCTGGATGCTTCTACTCCTGTGTGTGGAGACTCAGACTTCCTTAGAGAAGGGTCTAGGTGTGAGCATGGCCGTTGGCCTTTCTGCCTTGCAGCCAGACTAGTGTAGCAGGAGCCAGGTGCCTCCCCTTTATCGACATGATAGGAGTCTGCACTGGGTGTTGGCGGCTGGCTGGTGGCTAATGGCTGCCGCTCAAACAGAGATGACTCTGAAGTTCAGGGGAATAGGGGATGGGTCAGAAGGGGCAGCAGGCCGATGCCTTCCTAGACCTCCCTATAGGTGTCATCTCTGACTCTGAGGTCTGAACCTGGGGCTGGAGAAGAGCAGGGGTGAGAGAAGGGCAGAGAGGAGAGCCCATGGGCTATATCTGGGGTGGCAGAGAGGTCAGGACCTCTGCTGTCCCCGTTCCCCACCCACCTCCCGGGCCTCAGTTTCTCCTTTTGGTAGCCTGGGGATAATGCCATGTGTGCTGCCCTCACCTGGGAAAGGAAGGATGAAGGATGAGGCCGTGCCCCAGGCACTGGAGGGAGCCAGGGTCTTGGAGCTCACGAGGGTGGGTGGAGATGTAGTGAGGATGAGCAGGCAGATGGGGTGGGATGGGGCGGGGAAGCTGGGGGATGGAGGAGATGAGCCGAGGGGAGAGGGAGGCATGCCGCTGGTATGTGCACAGGGCTGGAGAGAGAGTCTTGTTCTGTCATCATCCCCTGAACCAGTCCCCAAGAGTCACGCACACCGTGTCCGCAAACACACGGAGAGAAGAGGAGAAAACGGCAAGAGGAGGCGTGGAGGTCCCCGTCTGGCCCAGACAGGAGACAGTCACCTTGATTTGGACCCCCATTTTCAAGTCCCCTTAAGTTTTCTTTCTTTCTTTCTTTCTTTCTTTTTTAAAACAAAATTCCGTATCAGTGACATTGTTTCTTTTGGCACTGACTTCCAGAAAAACAAGAGGGTTGCGGAGCGTGCCTGCCTGCTTTCCAACACTCCCTTGGGGGGCGGGGGCTCTGAACCAATACACAGCAACACGTGTAAGAAAACCAGGAAGGAAAACTGAGTTTTATAGAAACTGGAATGAAACTGACCAGCGTAGTTTCATTATCCAAGCTAAGCGGAAATGCAAAAAAATCAAAATAAAAAGTAAACAAACAGCACAAATGGTAGACGTGAGTCCCATTTCCCTAAGTTCTTTCCTTTTTACTCCGAGTAATTCAGGTCATCAGAAACCCCAAGAGGCCTGCCCCCCCTTCCCACCCAGTTTCCCACCCTCAGAATGGCCTCTGGGCTCTGCCCGGCCCCCTCCCCCCTGCCCTTCTCCAGCACAGCTCCAAGGACTGCGGTCCCAGCCAGGGATGTCCCTCTCCCTTGCATGTGACAAAGGGGTTCAGTGAAGCAGGTTATTGGACCGTGACTGGGGCTGTCCAAGGTAGGGCAAAGATGGGGAAGTGGTGGCTCTGGGTACCAATTTTACATCTAAGACCAAGTTGCCCTGGATGGGGGGAGGGGAGGAAACAGGGCTCATTTTCACAAGGGCTCAGGCTCCTCTCCCTGCTCCTTTCAGGGCATATTTCCTGGCTTCTAGGGGCACAGTCATGTTGGCAGGTTCCCCTGGGAGCCATTGTCTCATCCTTCCCTTTCTTACACTGTAATCCATCTTGGAATCTGAGTTCTGGGGACCTACTTCATCTTTGTGCCTGTCTTGGGGTTCAGAGCCTTCCTGTCCGCATCCAGGGCTGACTTCAGTGATATGCTGGATTCTCTGGGGGTTCAGGGGTCCAAAGGGCAAGGGAGGAGGAGAGGCCTGGTGTGGCAGGGGGGAAGGTGAGTCAGGGCAGACATCTATGTGAGACATGCTGGGATCTAGTAGGCCTGTTCCAAAGAGCTCAGAGCATTTGCAAGACTGTGTTGTTTCCCAGGGCTTGAGCTGCTCTTATGGCTGCATCTTAGAAGCCAAGGCCAGGCCTTGAACTCTCCTGGAGTACCTGTTGTTGCTCTTGGAACTCTTCTGAGGGGATCAGGAGGGAGGAGGTGGGGAAAGGGGATAACAGCAGGTGAAGGGTGGGACCATGGAGGAAGCCATCAAGGAGGCCAGCTGGGGCCAGAGCCACAGTTCTGCCTGGCAGTGTTATCAAGCTCTGTTGTGGGTGAGTAAGAGGAGACATGGATACTGAGCCACTGGCGTGTGCAGGGCGCTTTAAAAGTCCCAGTCTCCTCTGCAGGTTCACATTCCTAGAAAGGCCAAGCCAGTGATAGGGGTGCAAGGTCTGGCCTGGAGGGCCAGAGGCAGGAAAGCCTGAGGTTCTTCTACCAGGAGGTCAAAACCCTCTTTTTGAACTAGCAACATCTTGGTGGCCTTTGTCCAGACGCCGTGGGAACGGGACCCTAGTCTGGGGTCCTTGGCATGGGTGGCCTTGAAAACTCCAAGTTGTTGACTAGATCCCCTTCATATTCCTCCTTAAGAGCTGGCTAGAGCTGCACTCCTTGAGTTTGCATCACACCCCCCCACACACACACATGCAGGAGGATTGCCCAGAAGACCTGCCAGGACTGAAAAAGCCCCTTCTGGTGGCCTCAGTCACACCCGTCCTGAGTGCTGCAGTATGGGTAGTAGGGTTCTGAGCTCCTTGGAGTTCCTGCTGGGGCCACCCTCACCTCCTCCATTAGATCACTCCCATAATTCTATCCTTGCTGCAGCCCCCACCTTCCATAGAGAGGGGCTGCGGTTAAAGTGGCACAAGCAATGCTCAAGGCAGGACTGGCCACTGGGGGTCACCAGGGCAGGAAGAACAGCCAGATCTAGGGACAGCACCAGGCCCTGGTGCCTGTAGGCAACAAGAGTGGGATCATCAGGTGCTGAGGGCTCTGGAGCCTGTGTCGTGTCTTACTCTTCCAGGCTTATCACTACTGGAGAAGAATCAGCCAGGACATGTTCACTCAGGACAGTTTTGGAGAGCTGCTTAGAGATGGGGAAGAAAGACAAAACAGAAGGAGAGAGAAAGACAGAGAGAGATAGAGACAGAGAGATAGAGATACACAGAGAGAGAGAGACATACACACAGAGAGAAACACCTAGGGCTTAGACTGGTATCCCCACTGTCCTGCAGAGTGTTGGCAAGAGGTGAGCATCAGGAGGCAAAGCGATCGGGCCTAGGAACCTGGGTCTGCAGGAGTTCACACACCCCTCAGGGCTTACATAGCTTCAGGGTCCAGGAAAGGACTAAAAGTGGGCAAGTGACCCTGTCTGCGCCCCCTGGGGATCACTTCCAAGCAGCTCGAAGCTCACTTTGTCTAGAGCCCTCCACTTCTGCCCCAGCATCTCCTCCCCTGCTCTGAGCCCCATGCCCACCCCCACAGGCCACTTACTTGCAGGAGAGCTGGTTGATGCCCTCGATGTAGTAGCACACGCCTCCATTCACACAGTAGGACTTGGCTGTCTCGTTGCACTTCCGGGCGTGCCCCGACCACGACGACAGAGTGGTGCTCACTGGAGGTATGAGAGACACGTGCTAGTGACCCAGTGAGACCACCTCTGGGCCCAGGGATCACTTCCTTCATGTTCTTTCCTGTTCCCATCTCACAGCTGGAAGGTCGCTGGGACCTACAGGAATGCCTGGAGGTCTAGGGAGGTCTTGTTGGTGGGCAACAAGGCAAAAAGGAAGCCACAGCAGACCATCCGCCCTGCGTGATTCTGCTTTCACACTCTTGGCAAACCTACAAAAGCCAGGGGTTTTCTCACTGCTTCAGAGGGGCGGAAGAGAACAGAAAGAGCTTCCTTCGTTGGACAAAGGCCTGACCTCTCCTCCACTCTGGTCTCCCTCCTGGGGGTGCTCCACTATAAAACCAGTTGCTGATGTAGGGAATGGCTCAGGGGGAGACACTTGCATCCATTTTCACTGCTCAGATTCTTACGGTGGGCCAGGGGGCTCATGGGAATGAGGCCTTTTGGATACTGTCATTTTCTGAGCTCTGGGAAGGTGTGTATGTGGGGGAGAGGGACATGTGGGCCTCCTCTCTTTTCCCTCTTGTTTCCAGAGCTTGGATGTTATGAAGGCCACTATGTCCTGCCTCTAGAATTGTTCAGGGTCTCCTTCATGTCCCCACACCAGACAGCTCCCACCTTGTTAGCTGTTGCCTGTGGAGGGAGCCTTCAGACCTTGGCCAGCCTAAGCTATAAATCATGAGGTTCAGGAGGAGATATAGCTGGGAGACGGTGGGTGGGAGGGCAGGGAACAGCTGGGATGTGAAAACTGGGTGGGAGAAAGGCTGGGCTCTCAGGCTGCTAACCCAGGCTCACATCTGATTGATGAGGCTTGCCCGAAAACAGTGGGAATAATGAATGCTCTGCTCCCTCAGCAGGGGACAGTGTCCAGAAAGCTGGCTTTAAGTGCAAAAACTTCTTTTGTAAGGCAGTGTCCCGAACTGGCTCTCCAGGATGCGCTGCCAAAAAAGGAGTCCCTGCTCCCCTTTTGTGCTCTGGGGCTGTAAGGGTCTCTCATTCCTGCCCAGTGGTGGTCCCTGGACTGAGGTGTCCCACTCCACCTTGGCTATCCTTATCTCCCCTGGGGTGGCAAGCCTCCATTCCTCCCATCGGCAGTGGGGAGGAGGGGCGAGGAGGAGGATGGGGCAGGCAGGCGCTTGGCACCCTCAGTGTTTAGACATGTAGGGAGACAGATGGAGCGTGGGGGGCTGGAGTGTACACACAGCCCTGCCTCTGTATATGTCTGAGGAGCTCGAAGATAAAACTCGGCGGGCAGGGCCAGTTCCCACCCTCCCTTCTCCCCCATGCCTGTTGCAGAGTTGGCATCTCAGGCCCCACCCCTGCTGAGGTCTCCTCTAGGGCTCCACCGCAAACCCAGCTGGGACCCACATGCTGGCCGGGCAGAAGAAGCTTTTACTGGTGTTTGCTCCGATTCTGGGTCATAGAGACCCAGGAAACTAAAGAACGGGACAGAAAAGAGACACGAGTGAGGTGACCGCGTCTGCAAGTTACAGAGTCCAGCACAGAGCAGATCCTAGAGTGGAGGGCATAGGGGTTGCCTCACCCTTTGCTTACACCTCGAAGGAGGAGTGAAGAAAGAGAATGGCGGAGTGCCGCTCTAGAGCTGCAGTTGTGTATTCCTGCCAGAGACCATGTCCCTTGTGAAAGAACACGTCAGCACCCAGGCTTGACGTGAGCAGATGGATGTGAACCACAGCCTGGGGCCTCCCAGGGGCCTTGGCTAAGCCAAAGGAATTTTGGCCTGGACCTGCCAGGCCCAGCCTGGCTCCTCTGCAGCAATGGTGGCAGAGACCTCCTGCTGTCATGTCTTCATCGTTAGTGTGCTAGGCTGACTGAGTAGTGGACAGCAGTGAGGACGCTAGGACGGCAGGAACGACCGAAGAGAGACAATGATGGCCTTGTTGTGGTATACTGAGTCTGGGTTGCCATATCTTGGGGTTGATGCCAGGACTCCAGAAAGGCAAAAAAGGAGCATGGTGGGCACACTAGTCATGGAGATGTCAGGAAATAATGGCCGCAGGCCTTCCCACCTCCTCTGTCATGGTAAGGCCTTCCCAAGTCACTTTAGCACGGCTGTCCTGGTGTCACACAGCACACAGCAGGGTGGTGTGTGCACCACAGCGGTGTCATCACGCTGGTCTGGCACTCATAGGATCCCTTGTGAACACATCCGTAGTCCGCCACTTTGAAGGTAAGTGGGGGAAGCCAGTGTGTTCAAACTGGCCTCCCAGCTCTCTGTCTCCACCTCGTCTCTGGTTTTCCCTATGCCTGTGAGCCCCAAGGTCCTAGAGAACACCTTTCATTTCTTCTTTATTCTTTACTGCCTGCCGTATATACCTCCAAGGACTACCACGTCTGCCACCTCAAGACACTTGATTTATGCCTCCTACTTCCTTCCCTGGTCCAGGTCATTGTCACATTTTCCTTGGATGACCTTACTTACTGGTCTTCCTGGACACCCTTGCCTTTGCTCTGGCCTTATTGCTAGAAAGCTGCCACAGTGGTCTTTGAAATATGTAAATTGTGTCAATCCCTTCCATGACCACGGCTCTTTAGCGGTATCCCTTTGTAGTCAGAATAAAGACCCCGTCAGTTCTACTCTGGGTCTCATCACCTGACATTTTTTGTCGTTCATCCTGAGGTGACTACACTCATCTCAGCTTTTCTAACAAGCCAAGTAACATGCTGTCCATGACCTTTCAAATATCAGTGTCTCAGTGCAACCTCTCCAGGCTTCTCAAGATGGCCCCTCATTCTTTCTGCTCACTGAACAAGCTTCTGCTAGTAGTATTTATTGCAAGCTGATTAAGGAAACAAGTGTGCCATTACTAGTTCTACCAGTAGAACCAACGCTCCTTGGGGTATGGCCACATCGGTCATGTTTCACTAAACCCCACCATCTAGCCAAATGCCTGACACAGAATAGGTGTTTAACAGAGCAAATGAGCAAACACTTATCTGATTTTTGTTGTTGTTGTTGTTTTTGAGACAGGGTTTATCTTTGTAGCCTTGACTGTCCTGGACTCACTTTGTAAACCAGGCTGGCTTCAAACTCACAGTCATATGCCTGCCTCTGTCTCCCAGAGTGCTGGGATTACTGGCATGCAACATTTAGCCCTGACTGCTTATCTGATTCTTGAGGGGAAGCCCTCTGCTGCTTCCCTGGAGAAGGTATCTCTTGTATATTGTATGGATGCAACACCTGTCAATTAAGAAACCTGTGAGGCAGGAAATAGGTGGGACATCGGCAGGCAGAAGGGATTCTGTGATAGAGCCAGGCAAGATTCAGTCAGCAAGATGTGAAGAGGATGGATGCATGGTGCCTGAGCCCAGGTAACCAGCCACGTGGCAGAATTTAAATTCGTATAAATGTGTTATTTTAAGTTATGGGCTAGTCAGAGAGGAGCTTAGCTGTATGGCCTAGGTATTTATAAATAATGATTGAGTCTCATAAGTTGTTATTCTGGAAGCTTGGGCATAGGAGGAAAAACCTTCCTACAAACTCTTTCCTGAACGTAGTCCAGTGTTCTTAGCCTGGTCATTGATACCTTTTCTGCAAAACACCAGCTCTTCTCACATGCAAATACTGCTGAAAAGTTATTAGGGATGTGAAGTCAAAGCCACAACGAGACACCACTTTATACCTACCAAGAGGGCTAGAATGGTGGAGCTGGAAAATAACCAGTGGTGGAGAGGATATGGAGGTACAGAACCTCAGGGCACTGCTGGTGGGAACATACAGTGGCCCGGTTGCTTAGGCATCTGGTCAGGGAGCTCTCACAAAAACTAAAATCCCCAGGGTTACCATGCACTCAAGAAATTCCACTCATGGGTGTATCCTCAAGACTGACACGTGTGTGCTTACAAACACCTGAACATGAATGCCCTCGGAAGTATTATTCATCAGCCCAAACGTGGAAATGATCCAAATGATTCAACAATTCAAACCACTAAATGGATGAATAAAATATAGTATATCCACACACTGGAATATTATTTTACCATAAAAAGAATGCACTCATACATGTTACAACATGGATGGGCATTAAGATATGTTAAGGCCACCTATTATATGGTTATATTCATGTCCACTGTAAGTTAATCCACATGGGCAGAAAGCAAGAGTAGTGGTTGTGGGATTGAAGGGAGAAGTGGGAAGTGCTGGCTAGTGCACAATAGGGTTTTGAGGTGATGATGAAAATATTCTAGAATTAGTGGCGATAGTTACATAAGCCAGTGACTATACTAAAAACCACTGAATCATACTTTAAAAGGGCAAATTTTATGGTATGAAAATTATATCTAAAAAGTTAATTAAAACCATGCCCAGAAGGGGAAAACCTAGGGAACAGTTGCCATGAATGTCTTGGTGCAAGCTTCTACACCTTCCGAGGAAGATGAACGGGACAGAGGCTGAAAGTGAGCGCTGGATGACTCTCTGAGGCCCGGGCTGCAGCTGCTTTTGCTCTTTTGAGCATGGACAAACTTCTGCCTCTCTTGAAGGTCCATTGCCTTGAGCTAGTCTGCTCCCACCTTGCTGTGCAAATATCTTCTTTTCACATGGCTTAGGTCTCCATCCGCTTCTATTTTGTTTGTCAGGAGCGGCACACACTTTCAGGCCTAGGACTTTACCCCCCTGCCATCTGAGGTACTATGCTGTCACCAGGGCTGAGCCTCTCTGAGCTCAGAGCAGGGCCATGCTGACTACAACTTGTGTGAGGGTGCGTGCTCACGTGTGCGTGCGTAGAAACCACCTACCCTCTGGCCCAGAGGCCTCGGTAGATGCCCGCAGGCCTGTAACACCTCATGTCAAACCTGCCTGCCCTGCACCTGGTATCCTGAGACAGTCCTGGGCTCCCTTTCACTTGGGACAGGCTGCTAGCTTCTGTAAGGCAAAAGGGGGTTGCGCCATGCAGACTGTTTTGTTACAAGCTCTGTCTGTATCTGCAGAATCCTTTTCTCTGTCAGCCCAAGAGAGGTTGGGAGTTCCTGTGAGACCCAGAGCTGTCACTTCTGGAGGGCCTGCTCTCATCTGGGAGGGAGGATTATGGCTCCACCTTAATGGAAAGGTAGGTAGCCATCCAAGAGTGGGACGATGCCCTTTGATGCTCTAGCCCTGTGGCCCTACTCCCCTGGAGCCTAGGCGGGCCATGCCAACCCACCTTGGGATGAGTCATTGGGGGTAGGCAGAGCTGCCCGCTGCCCGCCCTCCACCCCCTCCTCAGGGTGTGGTTGCTGCAAGTGTGCTGGGTTTCACCGGTAAACAAGGAATCTATGCACCTCTGCCTGGGAAAATGGCCGTGACCAAGTTCTCCACATCGAGTAGTCTTGCCAGCCATGGACTGGGCAGAGCAGCAGAGAAGGTGTGCATGATGTGTGTAAGGATGTGTGTGTGTGTGTGTGGTATTGGTGAGGTGCAGAGGCAGTCTCTGCAGCCAACTCAGAATCCTGGGAGTTTAGAGGAAGGTTAAGACCAGGTAGCTCAGCCTACTAGGGGAAAGCTGGGGGACACAGAGCTGGAATCCGTGCAAATCTCTGAGTTCTTTCTACCTCCTGGACCTCTGCTCTCATGCCAGGCTGCAGCGACAAAAGACACTGAAGCCTTTGGGCAGCTGGGATTCCAGCTCTGCATGAGACTCTGTGCTCACCCCAAAAGGAGCACTCTCTGCTTTCCAAGCCTGTCAAAGTCTGGTAGGCTGAGAGGGGGCATTCACAGTCTGGGGCTGGGGCTGGGGCTGGGGCTATGTGGTGAGGAAGACCCTTAAGACCCTGGGCCCTGTGTGGCAGAGAGCGCAGCTATGGTGTTTTGAGTGGGATCACCTCTTGCCGTAGTTAGATGGTGGTCCCACAGGGCCATCGCCCAGGGTGCTTTGCCTCTCTATAGCCCTTCTGCACAAAGATAAGCCTGGCAAAGATGGTGCCCCACCCACCTGAGCACCACAACAGGGCCAAGTGTGCCTGTGACCTCATCAGGACGAAGAGGCCCCAGCAGAGCACAGGGGCAGGGGCTGGCTGAGGTTGGAACTCTCTGGGGCAGGTGCCTCCTTCTGCCCCTCTCCCTCAAAACGGGGAGGTGTTAGTTCATCGTAGGCAACCAACCCACTCCCAGGTCTTGGGCTCCTTTCCATCTGGAGACAGATGGATGACCTTTGGACTTCCTGTTTTCATGAGCCAATGAGTGAACTTTCTTAAGGTCGGTGTAAGTTAGATACTTATCAGTTCTAGCCCAGAAAGTTTTCATTAATAAAACAGGAAACCCGAAGTCCAAGGTGGGTCAGAGGGTACATCCCGCTCTGGGGCAGCTTGAGAACCACCAGATTGAGGCACCCATCTCTGTCACCTTCTCAGGCCAGGACCAGGAGGAGACCATAAAGGCCTTGAATAGCTCTTTTTTCTTTTTAAATTAAAAGATGATATTGAAAGCTGGGCATATAAACACAATCCTTTAATCCCAACACTTGGGAGGCTGAGGCAGGTGGATCTCTGTGAGTTCAAGGCCAGCCCGGTGTACACAGTGAGTTTTCTGATAGCTAGGACTATGCAGAAAGACATGTCTCAAAAAACCAAAAAATAAAATAAATTAAAAAAATTAAAAAACTGAAATTCAGGTTTTGCACATGGTAGGCAAGAGGTCTCCCACTGAACTACATTCCTAACCCTAGGTTGTAATTTCTTTAATATAACATTTACCAGCTACCTATTGGGAGGCAGGGATTGTGCTAGGCCCTGAGGCCAGAGTAATAAACAGGCCCATGGAGTGCCAGACCAAATTTAGTCATGACTTCTACACTGTAGAGCTCTATCAGTAACAAGCTGTTTGACTTTGTGCAAACTCTGCATCCTTTCCAAGCCTCTCCCAAAGAATGGTCCATGAGACAATGTAGATAGGGTCTGGCTCAGTAAAAGTCCATGTGACCAGGGGGACTTCCAAGGAAACAGCATCGTCTGTTTCCTGGGGATCCCATGCTGGGTGGTCAAAGCACAGAACAAATCCAGCAGCAGTATGGGGGTTTAAGACTAGAATTCAAGAGATGCCACCATTGTGGGTCAAGATGTAGCCAAGGATCGGGTGTGGACCCAGAGTGACTCTGCAGTGAGCAGATGGTCATGGAGGAAGCCTGCCTGCAGTCTGAAGGGATATGGATGGGGTGGGGAGTGAAGGGAAGTGGGGTCGGATGGAAAGGGAGCACTCGCTCCGCTGAGACTCTATGGGAAGGATGTGGCTTCAGGAAGGCACTGAAAGAGGCCATTGTGCTGACGCATGTGACTGGGGATGAAGCCCGAGCCACGGCTGCCCTTGAGATAGGGATGGGGCGGAAGGGACAGGTATGACAAAGATCTAGAAAGCAGATCTAGAAAGCAGATGCCCAGTGCGTGGAGACGCAGACTTCTGGGACACGTGGCATGAGAGCCCAAGAAGCCTGAGGCTGGGGGACAAGGTTTCTCTCTTGAGAATAGGGCGGACGGGAGCTGGGATGACCTGTGGCCTGGGCAATGCTGCAGGTTCCTCTTTAAATCAGGAAGGCCGTGCCACGGTAATGTAGCCAGGAGCAACATACACAGGGTCAGAGCCCAAGCTAGGGCAGGTTTGGTTGAACAGCAAACCTTCCGTGGTAGGCTCAGTCTGTAGGTGCTCAGCTCTGGCGGGGAGGAGAGGTGACTTTCTAGGCCCCAAACAAGGGCCTGAGAGAACAAGGCAGCAGCATTTTGTTCTCTGTTCTGAGGCTGCATCAGACCCTGAGAGCCAGCAACTCAAACAATTCTGAGGCCCTCTTTTGTAAGTCTTCAAAGAGGGCATAGGGTCTGTGAGAAGGTCTCTGACATCCCTAAATGGAGGCTGCCCATGGGTCCCAGGCACTCAAGCCTCCTACCCCCTGGCCTGGCTCAGGTGTCCAACAATGCAACTGGCAAACAGGCAGGCAGCTCACACCCACCTCAGGCCTGTCTCTCCCCCAGCTTTGCTCCTGACAGCCCAGCCTCTCATAATTGCCTTCTAAAAATATCCTCCCCCCCACCTCTTGATTTCAAAATATTTAGTTTTCAGGGTATTTAAAATGAGAGCTGGCGGCTCTTCCAGGCCCAGATAACAAAACTAAACATTTATGCTTTGACTGCGTTTCTCTGAATCAGCTGAGATCCTGGGTTTGATATGCAGCAGCAGGAGGGAGGGGGTGTGTGAGTGCAAGATAGATCATGTGCTGGTCTCCTGAGGGCTGAGGGGCAGCTGAGCCACTCTGCCAACCCCTCCCCACCCACCCAAGACCCTTCCCTCTCTTGAGGGATACCTACCACTGTTGACATGGAGCCGGCCCCTCACGGTGTCCTTCCCAAGGATGTTCTCAGCCTCACAGACATATTCCCCAGCATCCTCCACCTTCACTTTGTTGAACTGTAGACGAGAGTTCTTTCTGGTTTGGGAGAGGAAAGAGGGAGAGAGGTGTGAGCCAGGGCTACCGGAGCTTATCGGCAGTCACCAGCTGGTCACCTCACAGCACCACAATGGCTGTGGAGGTTGGGGGAGAAGAAGGTCCCTCGGGCCAGCCTTTTCTGGAGTGCAGGCGGTGTGCTGAACCCTGGAGCTGGGGGAAGACTTGAACCCTCAGGCCATCATAGGGTCCATCCAGCCACAGCACGTATGTTCTCAATCTATGACTTCTCACATCTTTTTTGCCCCTCTGCTGGCTTGGTTTCTTTGTGTCATTTTTTTTTTCCCCTTTGGGGAAGAATGCCAGGCCCCTTAGGAAGTCACACGGCCACGTCTCTCATCCCCAGCTGCTTTGGCTGTCCATAGGAGTGGCAGATTGTCACTGTCCAGTGTTGTGGTTTGAATGTATCCCCCAAAGTCCACTGGCCCCCACTTCCCCACTGCAGTGGTGCAAGCAGGTCATGAGGACACATGGCATTGAAAAGGTCCCTCTACCCTTGATCTTGGGGTTTTAGGCCTCTACAACCATGGGCCAAACACATCTCTACTGTTTATAGGTAAACCTGTCAGGATACTCTGTCAGAGCAGCAGCATGGACTCTGACTCCAGATACCTAGGAGAGAATAGCTTCAGTGGCAACTGCACCAGGGTACCAGCCTAAATCTTTGGCTCTGTCCTACCATCCACTCAGCCTTGCCAGTGAGGGGCCCTCTGAAGCCTCTCCAGGGGATTTGTTTAGTTCTTCCCACAAATGTATACCAAGCACCTCCCACGTGCTGGCAACCACGCACTGCAGGGTCCGCAGCCTCAAGGCCAGTCAGGGTGTGCTCTCCTTACACATGGGGAAACGAAATCTTACAGCACTCTTGGGTTACTGGGTCAGCTGAGGTCAGTGAGGAGACTAGAAGCCAGGGCTGGCTCCTTCATCTGATCTCTCACTTGAGTGATCTGAGGCTAGGTCCTAGCAGCCCCTGCTCCATGCCTTGACTCCAGAAAACTCTGCTTCTTTTTGAAGTCCCGACCAAACCTTTGCTTCCTTCTCAAAGCTTCCCTGCACCTACTCTGGGGTGTCTTGGCTCTGGGAGATTCTGTTCATAGCTCCCAGCCCTTCCTGCATCTGGGGTTCTCTGGGGTCCAGAAAGTGATCTGGATAAAGCCAGGGACTGCAGTAAGGACACAGTGTCTTTACATGCTATGCCCTCCCCTTCTTTTTGGTGGCAGATTGAAAAACCAGATTCCTTGTACATGCACAGTAACGGCAGGGTAGAGCCAAGCCGCCATTGCCCTGCCTGAGCTCTAAGGATACAAAGGAGAGCCACAACACTGTTGGGATAAGGGATTGCATGGGGGATGGGGGATGGGGAAAAGGGAGGGAATAGGAGGAGAGAGCAATTCCCTCTTGGTTTCACTTTTGGAAGTTGGCCTCTTCCCAAACATCTCCCTCCCACATTCCCATGAGCTTGCTGCAGACTGATGGACCTGACTGCTGTGGTGACAGCCTCACCGATGTGGTGACAGTGGCTTGACTATATCCCCTGCCCTTCCTGGTCCATGCTGGTTTTTTCCCTTGGGTTTGTGCCTGCCCACAACCCTCCTCTATCAATAGGGGTGGTGGTAGGGGTGTCAGGGCAGCTGAGGGCAAGAGAGTTTATGCACAGGGGACCCAGAGCCGGTCAGATCTTCATGTTCACCCACAGCTGCGCTCAAAGGAGCTTTCTTCATAGGAAGCATCGAAGGAGCAGCTCTGACTCCCACCCAAGGGTGCATGAGACCAGGATCAAGGAGGGTAGGTCTTGGGATAAGGAAGAGGAGATAACAATTCTCAGGTGGCAGGTATAGGTGTCTTGGTTCACTGGGGTCTCAGAGGTCTCAGGGAAGTGGGATTTGGAGCTTCCGCTGAGGATGGGCCCGGAAGTTGCTGGGGTTCTGCACTCTCCTCATTCTTAGCTCCATCTGGAGTCCCTAGGATTCAGGGTTGTCTCCTTGCCTTCCTGGCAAGGAGATGTACACTCCTGCTGCCCGATCAATGTGCTAAGCCAGGTCTGCCCCTGCAAAGGGTGCTGTTCCGCCCTCCCTAGCCAGTTCTCTGCTGGCAGGGACAGGATCTGGGCAGCCCTGCGTTTTCCTTAGTGCCTGCCTCCCCTGCCTGCCTAAGGGGCCTGTCCCAGCCTGCCCCTCATAAATAAGGGAGCATGAGGCTCTGCAGGAGAAGGACTGTGCCTTGGTCTTGGGGGGCAAGTTTTCTCCTGGCTCAGGAAGGCTTGGGTGACACTGCAATCTGGCAGACACAGAGACAGTCAGTCAGTCAGCCCCTGTCGGGAAAACGGTCTCTGCCAGCAAACAGAGATGCCAAGACTGAATGTAGCTCGGGCAGGGAGGGCACGAGGGACTCAGGGAGGAAGGACAGAGAAGGGTTCATCAGAAGTAAGGATCCTAGCTTTGTGCCTGGCTCTGGCTCCTGTGAGGTGTGTGCAGGGGTGGGGGGAGTGGGAAGTATGGAGAGGTGGCAGTGGCAGTTCTCTTGGAGTCACTTTGTGGGGACCTTGGTCACAGATAGTCAGAAGTTCCCATCATGGCTCACTTCTCCTCAACCAACAGTTTAGTACTGGGAGCCCAGGGACAGGACAGGTGGGACAAGGGACATTTCAGAAGGCAGCACATGGGGAAGAGGCCACAGCATTCTTCGGACTCAATGGTCTACACTTAGGGAAGGACCTGACTAGGCCTTGTCTTTGGATTAGGCCACCCACGTATCGGATGAATCTGAGGCTTAACCAGGAAGTAAGTTGTTTAGAAGGGTGGCCCAATTGATAGGGTTCCCTGCTCAGCCTCTCGACAGGGTGATCTCACACCCAGGAGAGGAGGGCCAGCCCTGGGAGATTCTTGTCAGCTCCACACTGAATATGGATCTCTGCTTCCAGGCCTACTGGGGAGCAGGGGGATGAGGCAGAGGTACTCCTGTGAGAAAGAATGATTGATTACTCAGTGATGAGATGCTATCAGAGTGGACATGAGGTGATCGATTGCAGGGCTTGGGGATAGTCCTACATTATAGCATTTGATCTGTGCCTTGGAGGGCTTTGCCAGAGATAAGAGGGGCAATTTTCCAAGTACAGGGGACAGCCTGGGCCCAAGTCCAGGGTTGTGAAAGGAAAGACCAGGGTTTGGGCCTGTACTAGGGACAGATCAGCAGGGTGGTGATGTTTAGGCCAGAAAGGACTGGGAGGGCCCCAAGGCTGTCAAATAAGGAAGGGATGATGAGGGGTCATGGTCTGTGTTGGAAAGTTCATCTGTTGCAGTAGGAGATGGAGAACTAGAATCATAAACAAAATGATCCAGAGTCATCAATTTTTCTCCCCTCTGGAAAATAAGTGGAGGCTTCCCCCTCCACAAAAACAAAACAAACAAACAAACAAAAAACAAAAAACAAAAAACAACAAAGTTGGCTTTTTGGCAGGGGTCACAGCTGTCTTGTTCACCCAGTGAATTTTGAACCTGCAGCAGAGTGCTTGACAAACAGTCAGTACTCTATACCTACAGGTTCTCTACACTAATTCACAGAGGAGTCTGTGGCCCAGGAGGTAACCAGGAGTACGGCAAGAGAGGATAACAGGGCGGGAGGCGGGGAGGGCAGATGAGAAACATCTAGGACAGGGAGGTTGTATCTACCTGCAGAGATGGCAAGGGGCATGTGTTGGGGGGGGTGAGGTGGCCAGGTGTGCACAGCTGAGGACCACCACGAGGAGCAGCTGGGTGAGTGAGGGTGGGGTGGGAACACTCTGAGTCAGAGACTTCCTGTCAGGCCTCAGGATCGGTGTTTGGGGCTCAGCTGGTAGCACAGTGTGGAACAAGCCTAGAGGTAGGGGTCTGGGGTCTCAGAGGTTTAAAGCCCCAAGAGGGTGACATCACCCACTGGTGGGGAGGGAGAGAGCGGTGAAGCTGAGGTGTAGCCAGCACCAGCGGAGCATGGGAGAGAGGTGTGACTCACAGGAGAACCGAGGAGAACCCACTGGGAGAGGCATCAGCCCTCACTGTACCAAGCGCTGCTGTGAGGCCTAGGTTTGGGAGCCCAGAGGTCATAGGGTGGAGTGGGCTGAACTGGCTGCCTGGGGCAAGGCAGTGTGGACAGAGAATGAAAGGTGTACAGCAGGGGGCTGAGGTGACGGCATAGTGGTGGAAGAAACAAGGCAGACGGGGCAACAGCTGGACGAGGGCAGGACACAGCAGTCGGGAAAGCATTCTGGGAGAGGGATGGGTAGGATAGAGTTTGTTACGAGGAAGAAGGAGAGAGGTCAAAGTTTCCAAAGAAAGGCAGGAACTGGTGGTGCCTCAGCAGAGTGGATTGTGTGTGTGTGGTGTGTGACTGTGTGAGTGTCTGTGTCTGTATAGGAGGGGCTTAAAGGAGTGTGGTGGAAGGTCTGATGGGACAGGGATGGGCATATGGGGACCATATTTGGGAGTGGTGCAGAGAACAAGGGCCAGCACCCTCCCTGGACTTCATAGACTCAGAGAACTAGTGGAGAAGCTAGAGAGAGAGATGGCCCCTCCAGCCTTAGCTCTGAGAGTCCTGTGTACTTTTCTTTCTAGGCTGGTACCAAGACTATAGCAGGAAAAAGGGTGTGTGGGGTTAAGTAGTTAGACTGAATTTCTTGCCAGTGTTACATAGACAGGGACACATAGGAAACCTAACCTGAATCTTCTCACCTCTCCAAATACTGTATTTTCCTTATGAATTAGCCTTCTTATGGGAAAAGACCTCTCCTCAAATCCTGTGTGACTTTTTGCCTGGGCCACTTTCTGTCTTTGCCTCAAAACCAGTTCTTTGGTTCAGGTCTTGGAAGGAGAGAGGAGGCAGAGCCTATCACCGGACCCTCACTTTTCTCAGGTTGCAGGGCTCTGAGGTGTAAGGGCAGCCTGAGCCTGGACGTCCACCTAACACTTTCTGTTGTGAGGTAGGCTGATGATCTCGAAAAAACACCTTTGTGTGTGCTTCGTGCAGGGTTAGGAGAAAATGCTGTCTCCAAAGGGGGTGGTTGGAAGTGACTCTGGGGGTGAGGGCAGAAAAGGCTGAGAGGCTTCTGAGAGTTCAATGTCAACCTAGACCCCAGAGTCGACAGAGAAGGGTTGGGATAGAGGTGTGTTTAACGGCAGACAGCAAGGAGCTGCCTTCAACTCCTTGGCTCACCTGGCACCTCCTGCCCCGTGAGTGGATGGATGGGTATATTCCGCAGCCTGAAGCCTCGGGGAGTGTGTAAGCCATGTTCCTGAGATATTCACTCAGGACGACAGACACTTCGTCTTCATGCTACCCACTTACTACACTCAAGAACAAATGTCATGAGACCAGTCCTTTTTCGTCTTATGTGGCTTCCGAAAGACTTTCTGGAGACAGAGGTCTTTCACCTCAAACTGCCAGATGTGGGATCTCTCACATTTGATGGTGGATCTTCTGACAAGCAGGACTCTGCTGCTAAAGATAGCTGGGAGTCAAATGGCCTCCAATCTTCATGCAGACACGTAAATTATTTCTTCTTCTTCTTCTTCTTCTTCTTCTTCTTCTTCTTCTTCTTCTT